TCTCTCTCTCTCTCTCTCTCTCTCTCTCTCTCTCTCTCTCTCTCCGTGTGTGTGTCTGTATGTGTGTGTTGTAGACATGTTGTGCCCATGAACTCATCCATGTGGCCTGGAGGTTAACAATGGGATGCCATCCTCAATCCTCCACCTTACTTTTCCAAATAAGGTCTCTCGCTGAAACCAGAGATTCATGATTCAGCTAGACCAGTTAGCCAATGAGCCCCTAGAATTTGCCTGGCTCTGTGTCATGCCCAGCGCTGGGGTTCTCAGCACACACAGCAGGACCTGACCCAGCTCTGGGTGTGAGGTACCTGAGCTCAGCTTCTCACACTTAAGCAGAAAGTGCTCATCAGCTGAGCCATCATCCCTGCTCCACCACAGATGTTCGTAGTTCCAACATCCAGGGCTGCAGGGATGGCTCAGGCGTTAGGAGCATGTTCTAGCCTTCCGGAGGACCCACGTTTGATTCTCAAGACCCATGTTAGGCTGCTTACACTGTAATTACAGCTCCGGGGAATCGAACACCTTTGGCCTCTGTGGGCATTTGCACTCATGTACATACACCTACAGCGTGCGCGCGCACACACACACCACAAAAATAAATTCTTACAGTACTCACAAGATTCTATCATGGTGGCCTACTCTAGACTAAGTTGTAGTAAAAATGGAGGTACTTAGCTAAAAATAACCTTGCAGTATTATAAAAAAAAAAATTGTACAAGACTGATTATCCCAGCACACAATCATTTTCTTCACCTTTTTCCTGTAGAAAGGCTTCCACGTAAAAAGCAAAAGTATTCCTTCCTCTCCGGGGACCCTAAAATGTTACAACTGTGCTCTCAAGAGGCAAGTGCCTCCCAGAGTCCCTCCGTACAAGAGGCACAGCAAGTGGCTTCTCAAGGGTGTCCTGCTCTTGGCCCAGCGCCATGTAACTTCACACACTAATTTCCCAAAGAAACGCACTCTGAAGAGAAGCCCAAGTTTAAGGCAGTGCTAGCTAGGCCAGCAGTTGGAGGAAACCTGGCAAAGGCATCAGAAGTTCCCAGGTGCTACGGTCTGAGTTAACCACGAGTGAGCTACAAGGTAGGTGCGACAAACCTCAATGTAATTGGGGACATCACTAAAGATATTAACTGCCCAGTTCCTTCCCTCCAGCCACCCCCAATGCCTATTTTCTTTCCCCTTCTGAGTGAGACTCAAGCATCCTCCCCCGGGCCCTCCTTGGCTTCTTTGGGTCTGTGGGTTGTAGCATAGTTATCCCATGCTTTGTGGTGACTCTCCACCTATAAGTGAGTATATACCATGTGAGTCTTTCTAGATCTGTGTTACATCACTCAGCATGATATTTTCTAGTTCCACCCATTTGCCTGCAAATTTCATGATGCCCTTGTTTTTAATAGCCGAATGTACCGTATTTTCTTTATCCATTCTTTGGCTGAGGGACAACTAGGTTGTCTCCAGTTTCTGGCTATTATGAATAAAGCTGCTATGAACATAGTTGAAAAGGGGTGGATGAGAAGGGAAGCAGGAGTGGGGAGTAGAAGTAGGAAGAGCAAAGGAGGGAGCACTGGCTGAGGGAATGGAAACTGGGGGTCATCTCTGGGTCGTGCCAGAGACCTGGGATAGGGGAGGCCCCACCCTAGCTGAGACTCCCAGCAGAGGGGTATATCAAGCCTGAAGTGGCCACTTTCTATAGCCAGGCAGGACTGCCAGTGGGGGGACAAGGACATCAACCCACCCATAAAAACTTCCACCCCAAATTTGTCCTGTTTACAAGACGTGACGGGTCAAAGATGGAGCAAAGGCTGAGGGATTGGCCAACCGAGGGAATGGCCAACCAAAGACTGGCCCTACTTGACACTCTTCCTATGGCAGAGAACCAATTCCTGACACTATTAATGTTACTCTGCTGTGCTTGTAGACAGACACACAGCCAAACATTAGACAGAGCTTGGGAAGTCCTATGGAGGAGTTGAGGGATCAATTGAGGGATCCAGAGGGGTCAAGGACTCCACAAAAACATCTACAGAGACAACTAACCTGGGCCCATGAGGGCTCACAGAGACTAAACCACAGAGCATACATGGACTGGTCCTAGGCCTCCTGCACAAATGCAGCAGATGCTCAACTTGGTCTTCATGTGGGTCTCCCAGAAACTGGAGTAGGGGCTGTCTCTGACTCTGATGCCTGCCTTTGGAGCCCACTCCCCTAACTGAGCAATCTAATGTGCCATGCAGGACCTCAACCTCGCCTTCTCTGAGGAAAAGAATAGGGAAGGGTTGGGGAGAGGGGAATGTGAGGGAGGAGACTTGAAGGAGAGGAGGGGGTTGCAATCAGGATGTAAAGTGAAGGAATGGATGAATGAATAAACAAACAAATAAATAAATGGAGGGAAGATATTTTAACTGGGAGTGAGCCAAATCAACTTCTGTTTTAATCCACTTTGCATATGTACTCAGAAATCTTGTGACTCTGGTTTCAATAAATGTAACTTGGATATCACAAAAAATCTCCAGGACTGGGCCCAGAGACTCTCAGTGATGATGCAATTGGAAGGAATAATATTGATGAAGCTTTCTTGGGACATAAACTTAGAAATGTGAAAGTCATGTTCATGCATGCCTTACCTGAGGACTGCATCTCCCTCTTGCTACTAGAACTGAAAACCTGAAGGACTGTAAGCAAAGGCGCCGCTGCAGCATCAACTCTGTCTCCTCATTAAAGCGGGTATCTTTAGGCTTAAGGCTATCTCAGGATTTGGACAGAGGCCTCATCTGAGGATGAGGCCAGAGATGCTACGCCCATGTGCACAGATGCTCATCTTAGTCCCATTTCTGTTGCTGTGACAAATTACCCCAACAAAAGGCAACTGTTGGAGAGAGGGTATATTTGGTTTTCAATTCCTGGTCATAGTGCATTACTGAGTGGAAGCCAAGGCAGGAATCACATCCATGGTCGAGAGCAAAGAACATACTCTTGGTCATTTTTTTAAATGGCTACCAGCTTCATATTTGGCCCTGCAGATGAAGCCACATAAATGGTCACTCCCTTTAACAAGGGAGCAGACAGTACAACCTATGACTGCAGGAGCTGCATCGCCACCTTCACCCCAGCAGGCTTTCTGATGGCCCGGATGGGCATTTGACGCCCTTGCCTCGTGGTGTGATAACACAGTTTGGATAAATCTACTCACAGTATGCACCTTAAACTATAGTTTAAACTATGCCTTAAACTATGGTTTCTTGAATTAAATGTCAAAGTACATGAACAGAGTGGAGGAGGAAGCCACGTCAGCAGCTTTTTTCTAGATGATCTATTCCACCACTTCAAGAGGAAGAAACGGGTATCTATTTTCAAGATCAGTAGAAAACATGAAAGCTCTAATATTACCTTAGGGTTGTTGACAGGCTTAGTCTGGGCACCTTGAGATAGAAAAACCCACTTCTTCATAGGTGACTGCTACTAACTAATTCCAGACATGATGAAAATATGAAGATTCCTACAGAAACATTCAACTCTGCCCATGGGACTATATGAACAAGCACGTACTCTTTGAGGAGGCATCGGATCAACATGCCCGGGTTTCTACCGCCAACACTAACTCACCACTGATGAGGCTGAAGTGAAGTGAACAGAGTTCACTTCTGGGGCAGACAGCCTTCACACAGGTCTGCGGGAGAGCCCCTTCCACTGGGCTTGCATCCTCCTGGGTCCTAGCAATGACAGCAGTGGGCTGGACCTTCCCAGAACCCACCAATCTTCTGGATCAAATAAAATCCAGGTCTGTGCACACAGCAGCTTAAGACAGAACCAGCAGTTCATTGCTAATTAGAAAAGCAAACAAACACTCACACTTCAAAGCTGACAAACAGGATAACAACTCATTGGTTCTGAAAATATCTCCATCCTTCCAAACGCTACCCTGGTATGTGACCCTCACCCATCTAGGGCTAACAGTCGAAGGAATCAGGTCTTTAAGAGTTGAGGATGCCAGAGGCAGTGACTCCCCTAAGTGCCTCTCAAAGGACAGTCTGCTCCCACTTCAGTGCCAGAATTGCAGTTCCAGACAACTCGTTCAAAGTTTGCTTAGCAAATGGGGCTTCGGGACTCCCGAACTGGCACTTCCCGCAATATCTCCATAGCAATGTGTTTTCATCGGAAAAGCTGCTGAAGAGCCAAGACTGATGACAAGCACATTCCCTGAAGAGGGGATAATGGCTGTGAGCATAACTGCCTGCCAACAGGGGCCACTAACCCCAAGACATCCATGCACTGTGGTGCCCTCATAGTCCACACTAAACCTAATCCCCAAAAGGTGATGAAATGGACACAGGGACATTCTGAAGCATCCAGACCTTTGATCTTTCTCTAGAAATAGCCTGTTAATGAAGATAAGCCAATTTAGAAACAAAGAGTAGATGTTACTCAATTTTGAAAGCCACTGTCAGTGAAGAAAACTCTCACCTAGAGCAGAAAGCATGCTTCTTCACTGGGGTACAAAGCAAACTCCCCATGTTCGGGCATTTTGGATGCGTTTCAGGAGACGGCACAAATCAAACAGGCTAAAGCATAATGTTTATTTCCAGTAAATCCTGAGAATAGATTATCTATGCACCCTCCTAATTACTTCCGCTTTATGAGCTGTTTATTTATTAAAAAAAAAAAAAAAAAAAAAAAAAAAAAACCTCAAAGAAAGGTTCTTTTTGAAGAACAAAGTTTTAGAGAAAGTGATTATTACAAATCCTTCCAGGATCCCAAAGACTTTCAAATCCATTTAAACCCAAATACAGAAGATCAGATTCTGCTCTGACATAATTTTTACAGTTTTAGAACAACTTTTCATTACAAATTCAGGCAGGCAGGAGTTGGGAGAGGAAAGAGGGTGACCATGACGGAGTATGTTGAAATTCTCAAAGAATATATGCATACACATAATATCCACAGGGAAAGACTGGAATAAAACGTTATTACATTAGAGGCTACTTCTCTTCTTTGTGTTTTACAAATGTCCTATTCTATGACTATATTATTTTATAATAAAAACTTAACAAAGAAAATTCAAGGTTATCAGACACAGTCAACTTTATAAAATTTAAGTTTCAAACAAGTGAGCAGAAAATAGAGGCACTCAACTAAGATCAGGACGAAGCTGCTCCTTGGCCCCAGGGAGATGAGACCAAATCCATCAGTAGCATTTCCTGGTGGCACTGTCCTTGGAGATAGGAAGCAGACAGAGCTCCCTTCCCTGAGGTACCATCGACTCAGACTAAGGCATATGCAGCAAGGACTGAATTTGCACACGTTTATTAGGCTATGCACCTGGGGAATCTCTGAGCACTCCCGAAATGCGCACTTGTTTCAGTTTCCAGGGAGGAAAATGAGACTCTTCCACAGACACCACAATTGCCAAAGAAAGGTGGCTGCACTGACAACTGAAGCTACAACAGGTGACCACGCCCACTCACCTGCATTCCTGTACCCATGGACTCAGGGAAAGAGTAGGTAACGTGATATTTGCACTCAGGCCTGGGGATCAAACTGGGAGCCTCATGAATGCAAGGCAAGCACACAATCACTAAGCTATGCCCTCAGCCCAATTATTTTACAAATTAAATTCACTATATTCACTTAAGCCACAGCTATGGCTATGACACTGTAAAATCTCACTCACCACGGGTAGCACACAGAAGACATTCACCACAATATTTTAGGAGGTTGTTTTGGGTAATAAGTGCAGAATCTATGTGTGCCTCATAAGATGAAAATTTAAACCTCATTCCTGGGATGCTCCAGTAGACATTCCACATTCTTAAGCTGATCCTAGAAGGAGTTGTGAGTGTTCACTGTACATGTATATGAAAATAGAGATCTCAGTAACAGTTTCAGAGTCCATTCCCCAAGAAACACAGTTTTGCAAGTCTGTGATGCTAGCTAGCACTCGGGAAATGGGAGCAGGAGGCCCACTGGAGGCCAGCATGAACTACATAGGGAAGCAAGAAATAAAATAAAATGAAGGCATAAAAGAAAGCATAGTCTGTGCCTATGGCTGTGCACAGACAAATGCGGCTTCCGTTCCCATCAGAGGTGTCTGGAGGCTGTACATCTGCAAGTCCCACGGGTCCTCAGGCAGGGTCACAGCTGTTGGCTGGTGAAGAAGGATTTAGTCTCCCTGCAGACAGGATTTACACAGAGCGGACAGCTCAGAGGCAACTGCGTGGAGCACAGCTTGTTTGACTGGATGTGTGAGTGCACCAAATCAGCCAAGGCCTGCAAGACAGAGGACACAGCCATCTGAGGAAGTCTGCTGGGCCTACAGGGTCCCTCCGCTCGTCCTGGGGAGAACTGCCCTGGGTGGGGTTTCTTTTAAACTGAGCTCAACAGAACTGTAAAGCACTGCCCCTTCCATCAGATTAGGCAAAGTTAGAACGGAGGCTTTAGGAAACAGACCCTCTTACCCCACCCACCGCACCTGTTCACTAAGAAGCACACTTGAAATTAGGCAGCTATGGGTGGGCAAAATAAGGAGACTGGGGCTACCTAAAGGAAAAAGGAGGAGCAGAGAAGGAATTCACTCTTAGTTTTGTAATTAATTGGAACTTCAAATGTACTAATATGTGAGAAAAACCAATATTCTGCAGGAGTTTCTCAGAGGACTGCGCTGCGCTGTGTTCTACTAAAATGGTTGTAACGCTGCGGTACCTTAGAGAACAATGGATTTCCATTAAGAGACTCCGCTCTTCGGATGTTTTCAGCTCCACACTGAATCAAATGAGAATGGGAAGAAAACACAGACACATTTTATTTTCCTTTCTTTCTTATTTTAAGACACTGAGTGCTACAAAAGAATAAACACAGAAAAAAAATATACATACATATATACACACACTATTCAGCCTGACCTTGAACGGTCGCAGCCTGCTCATGAATGAGGGTCATGGGGTGGATGGCCAGGCTGACTAGAAACTGCCCTTCTGTTTCTGTGTGAGCCCCCACCCTGCCCTTCCCACAGGTATGTGCTTCCAAACCATGTGGGATGGAAATCTCAAGAGTGACTCAAGCCCATGCAGCACTCCCCTTACTCTCTCACAGGCGCACCTTGCAGGCCCTCTCTTGCTGTAATTAAGTAAAATCTCCTACTCGCTTTGATCCCAAGTAAGTGCCAAAATGAAGGAAGTTAATTTATGGACTCTAAAACATACTGGTTCTAAATTGGATCTAATGTAAAATTGGGTTGTAAAATAAACTCTTACAGAGAAAAAAAATCTAAGAAAAAAATGAGTATTGTTCAGTACCATTCTTTTTCCTGCTAAAAAAATACCCAGTTAATTATTCTCAGATAATGGAGAACTATGTATGATTTACTCCAAAGCTGGGATCTTCTCTTTCCCATCCATGCTGAGCCACAGTCAGATGCTTTCTCTTTAGACTGACATTTACAGGAGGAGCCCACATGGGAAGCACTGATGGTCAGCAAACACCTAGACCTCAACACAGAGGAGGTTCTACTTAAAAAAAAAAAAAAAATCACAACCCACCCATGGCAGCAGAATAAGCAGTGTTAGTAATCCGCAGGGGGCAGGGCAGGCGAGGAAGACAGAATAGATGAATCTGTCCACAGAACATTATTGGGAAGGTGGAAGTATTTATGGTCACTCAGCATATGATAGCAAAAAAGAAAAATCCTCAGATGACTATTAAACAAGGACTTGCTTAAAAACAGCTTAAAAACAGCTCTAGGCATTTAATTATATTTACTCATTTATATCTAAAATGCGTATTTAAGAAAAGGTGGATTACAAAAAGTGTGGATAAAAATATCATTTTGTTACATGCAGAGAAGCTTATTTTTATGAAAATATGCACACTTAGGAAAAGGGAAGGTATTTTTATCAAAGCATTAGCAGCTGTGCTCTCTGAGGGTCAGAGAATGAGTATGTACTCTACTCTTGACAGGGTACTTTCTTGGTACCATCTGAAAATTTTATTGGTTTTACCAGCAGGAGGCAAAAACCAGTCCTTTCTATTTTGGAAAAAAAAAATTAAAAATTTGAAAGTATATTTTCATATAAAATAATGATAGCTTAATGTGTTTTTTTTTTATTCCTTACAGGGAATAATTTATTAATCACTAATAATCCTCTTGGTTACTAACTAATACCCTGTGATTGTAATACAAATGAATGGGAACTATCATTCAACATAAACGAAAAATTTATTTTCAAACACCCTATGCTAATTAAGTCTTACTATTACTGAAATCTTTCTAGCAAGTTTAAAGTTCGGCAAAGTCATAGGGATACAGAGACATCGATAAATAAAACCCATGGGCAACAAGGAAACCTTGCCTTTGCCTATTACAACTCGCTCATAAATTAGTGATTAGAGAACACAGGCTCTCCTTCATTCAGCAGCGTTTGACTGATAACTGGCTTCGACACACAAATGACAGGAGCTGACCACTGGTTCCAGCTCTGCCCCTACTCACCCTCCACTGTGCCCCTCATCACTACCCAGTCCCAGAAAGGGTACAGTGTTCTGTGGAGCCAGATTTCCATGGGTCACCTATGGGAAGGCTATGAGTTCCCATCCAAGATTAGAGAGACAAAAGGGCTTCCCTGTGCTTCCAAACTTTCCCCAGAAACACAGCAATAAGTGGGTGAAGCTTCAGGCTAGCCTGCAGAGGCTACAAACAGGGAAGCAACAGTTTTTCTCTACCCTGAGTGACAAGTCACATCCATCTTATGCCAACAGTGGTATTTGTTATTTCAATAGTCAGATTGATCACAAGTTGCTAGCAAACAGCTAATTAAGTGAGTGCATAAGAGAGGTCAACGAAATTACAACACACACACACTGCCTCTGTGTTTATTCTATGCTCCTCTCTGAAATGTCAGACACTCACGCCCCACACCCACCCAGAAACAGCGTGACAGCCCAAGAGCCACTACTGCATTAAGTGCAGGGAAGGGATTATAGACTGATAAACATTCCCTCTCAGAATCAGTGAGACATACAACTCCTTTCACACAGGACAGTAACTCACACTGAACAAAGTATTAGTTTCAGTGATATTTGGTAACATGGTTTAAAAGGAGTAAATATCCTCTGGTACTGCTGATGTAGAATTAATTTATGAAGTATTATTCAAAATCATGAGGACACAGTACATAAAACACACCAATAGTTTTCTTCTCTTTCTCTCTTTCCTCTTCTTTCCTCTGTTCTTTCTCCTTCTTCTGTTCGCTTTTCTGAGACAGGGTCTCTCTATGTAGCCCTGGCTAGCCTGAAACTCACTAAGTAGACCAGGCTGGCCTTGAACTCATGGAGATCTGCCTGTCTCTGTCTCCCAATGATGAGATCAAAGAAGTGTGCCACCACACTCAGCCTCAAACAGTAATTTTTTTCAATGGTAAGTTTGATACTTGGAGAAAAAAAAAATTCTTTTAAAACAAATGATGGGACTAAGAAGCCAAGTGAGCACACTTACCTTCTTGGCTAACACTTGAGAGTATTCAATATCCAGTTCATAAAGCGTCTCAATGTGATCACTGGTAAACGCTATTGGAACCAAGAGGATATTCTTCCTCCCCCGCTCACAAAGCCCTTTGATAGCCTCATCTGTTTGAGGACCCAACCAGGGTACTGGGCCGACCTATGAGAAAGGAGGACCAATGTGAAGACAAAACATTTCTCCTGACGTGTCAGGAGCATATGATTACCATACCTCCAACACACACTCGGAGCACACACATCTGCCCAGCCAGGTGGAGCCATTCTTACAGCCCCTTGAATGGGTTTGCGTATTTTCACTCTGAAGCTTGAATCCTTCTAGAGGCCCAATGACACAGGTAAAACAGCTTCTTCCACTGAAGCTAAGAGCCAGGTATTAACTGACGGAGCTCTGCCAGTTGTGCAATCTCCCTTCTATCTACTTGCTCTTTGCAGAATCCTCTGCCCAGGGTGAGCAGCCGACTTACAGAACAGCTTGCTGGCATGGAAGAGCCCAAATACCCATTTATAAATAAGTGATTAAAAGAGATTTTTCTCAAGAGACGATGGCCTGAAAATGTATGGATGGTGCCTACCTTGGACTGCCAAACCAGTCGGTATGGGTTGGGGTAACCTAGCTCTTCCATGACTTTATGGACAGTGGCACCCACCTCTTGGGGGTAGGGGTCCCCTCTGTTGACAACCTGCAGTAGAGACAAAATAATATGCAGTCACCAACACTGTTGAAGGGTACCAAAGCACCGCTGGCTACACAGTGACAAGATGAACGTGGGCCAGACCCTCCCTTGCTGTCCTTTGAACTAGTGACAACTGGATCTGAGCACTGGTGGAAAAGTTCCTTGGTTCCAGTCTTTCATTGGCCAAAGAACACAGTATCCAGTCAGTTCCAAGATCCCAAAGAAGATGCTGTTGATGACTAGATGGACAAAGTCTACCATGGAGATGATTCTCTTTCCCTCCAGGACAGACAAAGTGCAGAAGAGCTGAACTGATAAATAAAGAGGCAGAAGGAAGGCGTGCCTGGTTCCGACTACAAGTTCCTCTGGATGTGATCTATGCATTATACTCATTTTCTTTCTACCTGTCCCCAACAATTGACAGCAGACAAATGATTTCTGAACAGGGAAACATGTGCTCCCAACAGGAAAGCCTATTAAAAAACCTTTGAAAATATTCAGCATACACTTTTATTTTAACTGTTTTCATCTTTTGTGGTATACTGACTCCCTGACTCCATCACCGTGCTTTACAGTGTTTATTAGAGAAATACAAGGTTGCCTTTAGCACAGTATAACATCAACTGCTACAGATAGGATTCACCATAATGTAGACCCTGTGTTGCTCCCGTGTAAATATTTGCCTGCCCTCTCTGGAGCTCCACTCTGGTATCTCAGGTCTCATCACACCTAGAATGGACCCTTGAAAAGGACTTGCATGACACTACAAAGAAGACATGACCCCACTGAAATGAAAGAGGCAGGCTCTCAGGAGAAGGCTTTATCTCTAAGGCCATCTGTTACTAATGGCTGCATCTTCCAGGGGAACTGCACAGGGCTTGACTCTGGTGACCATCAAGGGCAGCCCATGGTACCCTCCACCTAAGGATGGTTGGTTCCATTAATCATGTGTTTCAGACTGACCACACCTAGAGAAATGTAATCTTCCACCTCTATGACTAGGAAAACAGTGTTTTTAAAACGGACAGAATGCTAGTTCTGGATAGACCTGCAAATATCATACATCACACTAGCACAATATTTTCAGGTTTCGTGGCACAAACCTGGATATGACATTTTAATGAACAAGCTGGTATAAGATGATCTAAGGCTCACAAGCTGAATGCTATATATTCTCTGGCTAAACTGTGGTCCCAGTTTTAGAAATGAGAAGCCATATTGGCTTCCTAGAATGCAGAGGCTTCTGCTAAGTCTCCAAGACAGAACTGGGGCTTAGTGTGAATAAAGCTGGCTGCACATGTCAGTGTGTGGAAACTGCACACCGCACTCCTTCCAACAGCACGCAAACACAGGCGTCTTTTAGCTGATACACTTGCTAGAAATCCTAATATCTGAATGACTTTTCCAGTCGTCATTTAAAAGAAGGCTATTAATAAGAGATCTATTTGTAATATTGTGCAATAAATTAATTGCTGGGAGGTTTCAGAAAATGAGTCTATGAGCAAGCTAGGGCTGAGAGTTTAGAATTCATTCTCGCACTGAGCTAAGGGCAGAATGGAACCAGATCCATTTTACACATTTAGAGAGTGAAACAACCCAGTGTCCTACCATTAGGCCACCTAACAAAATGTTCTTACTTACAGACATTGGCAGGGAGTGGGCGGAAAACAGAATGACCACCTCGCTTCTCTTCTCCCGTGGAAAATTGTCCAGTTCTTTCAGAATGTGGTCTGCAAAGCACTGTGGGAACCCCAAGAATGGGGGAGAGGATGGTGAGAAGAGAGAAAACAGGAAAAGGGAGTGTCTGAGAAATGAGAGCAATACCAAAAATCTTAGCACAATCTTCAAAATCTGGAACTCTCTTAAAAAAGAAAAAAAAAAAAAAAAAAAAAACGCACAGCATAGTCTCTTTGCTCTGGTTCAGCTTCAAAATGGCTTGCAATGGTTTCGGGGGCCTAGGGAATTTGATGGGAAACTTCTAACGCTCACTAATGGCTCTCTACAAATGAAGGCAGAGGAGCTGCTTCCCCTCGGGAAGAGCAGGGCACACTTCCAGATGGAAAGGAAACACAGATGGGAAGGAGAAGTTGTTTTAAGACCTCACATTTGCTCTGTTAGCAGGAAAACAGCTTACAGGGTCTTTCTAAATCTTCCTTACTTTGGCTTTCAGGCCATCACATTAAAATACATTAGCCAGAAATAGGAGAGAAATAACAAAATACACTTCTATTTTTATGACATCTTTCTTATGAGTCCGGGATCCGCACCAAAGCAATCTTCCTCACAAGCTTCATGATGACAAATGATGGGCTGTGCAACCCCCACTAAACACACAGAGGGGAAAATCTGTGGTGGACGTGAGGGCTGGAGAGCCATATGTGTGAATGCACACTAGAATCCAGGTCCTGGTGCCTTCGAACCTCTGTCTACCAGATCAGCTCCCTCTCACTTCTAGTTGGCACTTGCTGATTCTCATGGGTAGGTGCTGAAACCTCAGATCTGAAGGGACTTTCTTTCATCTTATGCTTGAACCATTCCTTGCCACTTGGCTTATAAGGAAAATGTAGCAAAGGACAGAAGCAGGTCAAATGATGAAACTGGAATGTGACCAGAAATTAGACAAAAGTTGAATATCAGTGTTAAAACAAACTGCTGTGGAATTTTGTATTGTAGTTACGTTTAGAGAACAGCCCTGCTCTTAAGGTAGGGGTGGGCATGTGTGTGCATGTGTGTATGCTTGCATGTGTTTGTGTCTGCCCTCAAGTAATCCAGAAAATATATATATTTTAGGCTATACACATATATACACGTACAGAGAACATGAAAATGATATGTCGAGTGGAACAAATGCCAACACATGAATATAGGTCAAGAATAGGTGACAGTTCATTACCCCACTTTTAAGATGTATTTGTGTGGGTGGGTGTTTTGTCTGCACGTATGTCTGTCCACCACATGCATACTTGGTGCACACAGGAGCCAGAGAAGGCTTAGTCCCCTGGGACCCGAGTTACTAATGGCTGTGAGCTCCCATGTGGATGCTGGAAATAAAGGTTGAGTCTTCTGCAAGAGAGCCAGTGCTCTAAACCACTGAGCCATCTTCTACTTTTAATTACTATATTTGTATGTGTGGGGGGAGGGGGTGATGTGCATGTGGGTGAAGGTGCCCACAGAGTCCAGAAGAGAGTATGGATTCCCTGGAGCTATAGCTACAGCAGTTGTGAGCCATCCGAGGTAGTTACTGGGAACTGAACTGGAGTAGTGGTGTGTGCTCTTAACTAATGAGCCAAGTCTGCAGTCACAGTATTCTTTTAACTATTAATCTCGTATCTATTTTGTGTGTCAGAAATAATTTCCAACTAAAATTTAAAGAACAACTTAATAGAATCATACAGACTCACAGCTGATGTAGTTTTGATACACATCAGGGTTTGGTCAATACTGTAATTCCAAACTATTCCCTAAGAATACCAAGATTCTTATCCTTTCAGAACTCATAAATTTTGGTAAGTAAAGACCCTAATGAAGAAAACGGTGCTTAGAAAAGTTATCTAGATGTTCCTCCCTCTCCTGTTCCTCCCCCTTCTCCATATTGGGTGGTAATAGTTGATACAAACAAAAACTACACTTTTAAACTATTCATAATGTTTAGGACACAAGACCACAGAGCATCCTACATAAAGGAGCCACCGTAAAGTTTATGTAGGTGCCTGGAACATACGCTCACTGCAAGCACTCTAACAGCTAGGTAAACAGCAGAATCGGAGAGATGGTAATAAGGTGACTATTTAAGTAACTAGCACTGATAACATGCAGAAATGTGGATTTAAGGCCATATTTTTTAGTTGAGTTTAGGTTAGAGTTTTAGGGGGTTGCCCCCTTTCCCTTCCTTTCCTTTCCTTTCCCTTCCTTTCTCTGCCTTTCCTTTCCTTTTTTCCTTTTCTTTCCTTTCTTCAGCTTGTAAAATTGCAAGTAAGAACACAATTCCTTAGGGCTTGCAAGAGTCACTAAGCCATCTTCAAAACTCAAGCAGCATGGGCAAATACAAGTGCTACTTAAATCACCTAAGACCCATCTGCAGGATTTTCTGTGCACAGCCCCTGTGCAAAATGAAAGCAGCAAGGCCTCTCAGAGCCTTCAATCACACCATCCAGGAGGGCAGATAAATGCCTCTAAAATTCCCTTTCATTTTATGAACAGAGACTTCCTCAGTTAAGAGACCTTTCCATCTTTCTGCTTCCCCCCTTTTCAAAGGGCTGAATTTTAATGCAAATCTAATTACTCCCTCGATCAGGGCAGGCAGATGCTCTGCAGATCCTTCCTCCCTGAGCCACATGTCAGCTCAGACCTGAAATAGCCTTCCTTCCCAGCCACAGCCTTCAATAGCAGCAGTGCGGCCTTAGGCGCTCCAGCTACCCCTGGCTGGACCCAGCAAAAGGACGAAGGCAGGATAGGAGCCCAGCAAAGCGACACCCATCCCAAGGGGACCTCTTTTACTCCAACACAAATGTTAACCCTTTCCCTGCCCACAGGACACTGCTCTGGGGAAAGGCAGCCCGATTTTAATGTCGTCTAGCACCATCTAGTGGTCACAGGTTTTAAGTGCTGCTAATCTTTTCAGATATTTTGCCAGAGATCACAGAATGATCAAAGAATATAAAATAAATCAAACAATAGTCCAAACCACTTCATATTTCTAGACTTAAAGTAACTCAAAAGCAGAAACTTCTACAGACCCAAAAACCTTCTGAATGACTCAGGACTTCTTTTTTTTTTTAAATCTTTACTGTCATGGTTTTTTAAAAATACAAGATAATACCAATACAAAGCTGGTGATTTTAGAAATTTAAGTTTAATGATTTTCTAAAATAAAGTACCTATTGACAGGATATAACAAAAAAGAAAATTAGAATTTTCTTTTTATCTATGAGACATCCCCATTGTAATGTTGTTTATGTCTCTGGACATGTATCTATATACTATCTTCACTTTTTAAATTCTTTGATGTTTTTTAAAAATTAGAAAATATAAGATTTAACTCATTTGTTGGTCATTCAATATAGGCATAAAACTTAATGGAAGTGCTATGTAGTGATATGATCTTTAATGTTCTCGTCACTGAAAACTACAAAACTCAAAATCTAACTATGGTACAAAAGTATAATGTGAAGGAAGAGAAGCGTCTGACCATTTTAACCTTGCCACTTTTCATGATTAGTGGAAAGTCTAATGGTGTGGCTTTTAAGCATGCAATTTAAGCAAGAGAACACAAGCTCAGTGAGATTCAAGCAGAGCAGAGCAGATTTGCCCGGCTGCTGTGAGGATGGAGGCTGCCTGCCGGCATACACACCTGGATGAGGAGGGGATGTGTGGGCCACCTGTCAATTGTGCTCCACTTCATGGTGGGCTTCCGGCCCACCTCGTTATAGTATCTGTAAATGGCATTTAAGCTGCTGCCTAAAAGACAAGGGAACCATTTAGTAGACACACTTGACTGTGGTGAAAATGCAACACAGACTAGTAAAGGCAATAATTGTGAGTTCAAAGTAGGCAGCTGCATCTATATGGAAACCCAGTCTAATTACAATCTTTTCAGTACTCTAAAATGCATATAGATTTAACTACCCTGCAAATGAAGATCACTAAAGAGCAATCAATCTCAACAGACCTTCAAAGATTACTGAGGCCATTTCTACTGAAAGGTGTGAGGGCTGCGAGTTCATGAAACACAAGCTATTGTGAACTTGCAGGAACTAAGTCTTAAAATTGAGTGCATGTGAAGAAAAGTGTTCCCATTGTGACCAGAATCAGCCTCATTACAGGCAGTGTGGGGGGTGAGAAAGAAAGACAGAAGCGGGCTGTTATCCCAGCATGCTAATTCCGCATAGTTTAATTCCAGGATAGCTGTTTTCTGGTATTTTCCTTCATAGCTGTTTTATTTTGCGAAGTTTCTGTGTTAGAATATGCATAATTCTATATCTAGAGCGTTTTGGCTATTTCTACTCAATATCACAAGTTAAATAAACAGCCTATTGAGGGGTCTAAAGGCCCTGGATTTAATCAGCTTTTACCAATGAATCATTCTCTGGAGTGAAGTCAACAAATACCGCAAACGTTGTGCTCCTGAGGGAAAGGTGAGTATGCTGACAGCCCAAAGTCCAGAAGTGAGCTGGCAGCACAAAGCCACGGCCGTTCCCTGGCTCAGGCACGCTGACAATCCTGACAGGCTTACACGGCCAAGTTCCAACATGTCTGTGTGCTCTCATAGCCATAGAATCCTTGCCACAGAAATCATAGTTAGGTCGCCAGTTTAAAAAGCTTACTCAGGACAGAGCCGTGGCTCAACACAAACTGTTTATATTTTTAAAAAATCAATGGATTCAATTTCAATGAGTTGAATACAGTGATGTAAGAAAATCCAAACTTGGGAGTCAAAAATAATCTCCAATAGAAATCAAAATATCCCACCATATTCACACAGCAGGCCTCACTGTGCACGTGACGATCATTTTCTGGTGTACAAACAGGCTTATGGGAGCCACGTTAGATCCTTTGTGTCACTGGGTAACAGTCAATATATAGCCAGAAGTCATTAAGAAGAGGGAGATATGAAAGAGAAAGATGCTATGAGAAATACATAGAACATACGCTGCCTGTTTAAAAGACAAAGTAGCAAAAGGAGACTATTGGCCTCAGAGAAGAAATGTGTTTCCTAAAACATTCATAGCTCAGAAGTACAGCCACTTGGTCCTTACACATGAGATGCACTACAGAAAAGCCGCATGGGCAAGCCATGTGGGCTCTGAGCTCTGGCCACACAGAAAGAACCATCTGTGCAGGAAAGCATGCATCTGTTGCCACACAGATAACAACTTTGACTTACCTACTTTTGAGAGCAGACATCTGTATGTTGACGGACATTTTACAAACCAAGATAAAAATAGGCCTTGAAAATTCTAAGATCTGACTCATTCTCCGATAATATATCTTATTGGAGATAAATTCAGAAAACTGTAGATTTCCAAAGTAAATCACAATTCAAAGTTCTGGGTGTATGTGAAAGACTGGGCATTTTAACAGGTGCTCTCTCTCTCTCTCTCTTTACACACACGCACACACACACATGCACACACGCGCACACACACACATGCACACACGCGCGCACACACACACACACACACACGCCTCTGTGTGCTTCAGTATTTAAGGCACACAACACTTGGAATGTTTCCTCCGTAGCCTTTTGTTTCTCCTTATAGATATAATAACATTAAAAGTCAAAGACAAACTGGGACTACAGATGTGTTGACCTAAATCCTTGAGAGAATGCAAATATATTTATGGGTAACAACATAAGCTTTACCCATAATTAGAATAGTTAGGAGTGGTGGTACACACCTTTGATCTCAGCATTCAGAAGGCGGAGGCAAGCAGAGCTCTGTGAGTTACACAGTGAAGCCCTGGCTCAAAAAAAGCAAAAAAACAAACAACAACAACAAAATATAGCTCTCGAAGCTCCTTTTTCATCTTCAGTCAAACATGCAGAAAACAGTAAGGAGTAAGGCACTCCAAAACCAAGAACACAGAAAAGTTTGTAAAATGTTAACCTCACATTGGGTTTTGGTTGCTGTTTTGTTTGTTATTGGTTTTGTTTGTTTGTTTCTTTGTTTTTGAGGTAGGGTCTTACCATGCTGCCTCTGCTGGCCTGGAACTCACTATGTGGATCAGGCTGGCCTCAAACTCATAAAGATCAGCATGCCTCTGCCTAGGATTAGAGGTGTGAACCACCAGGCCTGGCCAAGATGGATTTTAAGTGAACCACTAACAATCCCATAACTGAAGAAAAGATAGACACAAACATAAAAATAGCAGTGCTCCTCATATCACATGCTACTTCTGTTTTCAAAATGGAAACAAGACATCACTTTGCTCCCTTAATAAGAATTTCAGGGTAAGCTGGGAACAGTGGTGCACGCCTGTAACCCCAGCACTCTGGGAGGCAGAGGCAGGTTGATCTCTCTGAGTTCAAGGCCAGACTGGTCTATAAAGTCAGTCCAGAACAGGCAAAGCTACACAGAGATCAAGTGCAGCCACCACCCTCCACCCACCATTTGTAATTCTCAGCTGATTGGCCAATAACTCTAAAAGTGCATGACACATGTGGTTTCAAAGTGACTGACCTGAACTCTTTGGTGTAGAGAAGACAGGGCAGATTTGCCATTCAAATTGCAAATTCCTTTAGCACTGAGAGTCCTGGGCTAAACCTGCCAGGGCAATAGCCACCTTCCAGATGTCCTTACCTGTGGTGGAGCAGCTATATTGTGGATACTGTGTGAAAGCAATGGCCCTCTCTAGTCCATCTCTCTCCATCTCTTCAATTGCTTCTTCTGTCAAAGGATGGACATACCGGAATCCAATATAGTATTTGTGAGGCGCTATTAGGAAGCACAAGTGGAAAGGAGACGGCATTAATCTTTATATAGATTCCTTAGAGTCACCAAACATAGTGTAATGGCCAGAACAATGAATGACTAACCTAATTTTCTACAATGCTGATATGGTGAGCAAGTTAGGATCCTCCTGACATCTTGTCCATCATGTAGCAGGCACGGGGACACTTGGTTATCCTCTGAGATCAACAGTCCTACCCAGCTACCTTTTGTTAACGTGATCATCTTTAAAATGCAAGCTTTTACTTTCAATTCTCTGTTCCCATCAGACATAAAGTGGCTGAAGAAAAGAGGGGGAAAAGCCCAAAACCTAGTACCTAGCTAGGAGTGGTGGCATAGCCTATAATCTCAGCCAGGAGACAGATCTCTGTGAGTTTGAGGCCAGGCTGGTTTACATTACAAGTTCCAGGCCAGCCAGAGCTACATAGTGAGACCCCACCTCAATTTTTTTAAGGTTTAGTATTCATTCTTGACATGTACTGTCTTCACTGAGCAGACTGCAACCTCCAACACTCGGTAAGCAAGAACAGATGGCCAAGTTAAGGCCAGCTACAGCTAGACAGCAAGTTCAAGGCCAGGCTGAGCACATTGCTGAGCACATCTCAAAACAAAACTAAACTAAACAAGCAAACAAGGGTGAGGCACTGTAGAAAATGCCTCTGATCTCAGTACACAAGGGCCTCAGGCAGGAAAACTGAGTCTGAAGCCAGCCTGATGGACAGCACATGCAAGGCCAGAACAGAATATAGAGTGAAAGCGTGACTCGAAAAAAAAAGAGAGTGAAAACAAAAAGCACGTCTGAGGATCACTCTCAGATAAGCCCTGTGGCCTGGAGGAAGGAGGGAGCAGCAGAAATGCCTAGAAGAAACACAGGAAAGCCAGCTGAGCTGACTGTAAGAGGCTCAGGCCAACTGCAAAAAAATGTTCTCCAGCCTGTAGAGATGCCTGCTGGCTGTGCAGGGAGCTCCAGGTTCCCAGCTTTTCTAAGTTATTACCTGTGCTATGGTGGCTTTTGGTGGGACATTTCTGTTCCTGTAAGTAACTCTTCCCCATGTACCTGTAAATAACCTCAATAAAACTCATTGGTTCACCAGCTTAGACTTTGGTGATATCCATATTTTGATCTGTCATCTGTTTCCTATCTGGGATGAGTAGATATTTGTTCATGCCCCTCAGGAATAGCAACACACACACAAATGGACAGTGATTTGCCAAAGGCCCAAGGAGAGCTCCTGAGATCCAGAGAGCTCCCAAGAGAATGGGTGAGTGAAAGTGGTCAAGCGAGCTGGCTCCATGGAGGGTAAATGAAGTTTGCTCATGCTCTTTCTGCATGTAGCTGTCACATGCTCAGTGCACACACAGATCTGGGGGTTGGATGCATGGATAAAGGACACACAGGTATAAGAATCAATGGGTAAAAACTTAGGTAAATATGCAGGCAAATGAACAGATCAAACAGAGGAGAAAAGACAATTTTATGCCACACTGAGTGAATTAATGACTTGTCAGGCAAGCTACTGAGCTTAGCCCCAAAGTCGTAATGAGTACTGGATATTTTAAAAGTAAATCTCTAGAGAACAGATGCTTAATCACTAAATTAAAAACCACCTTCCCAACAACCTCAAGTATGAAATAAGTATAGTGATTCTTTGATGGCTTACAAAGCAGAGGAGAAGTAATGTCAGAACCTGCCCACACTTAAGTTCCTGTCTTTGCACTATCTGGCATTCCAATAAAATGACCATCTTGGTAAGTAAGTGGGAAATGACATTTGGAGGTAAGCGGGAAGGTGCCCTGCGACTCTGCCCAGCCAACATGGGGGAATGAAGGCAGAGAAAGTCTGTACATTCAACAGCTTTCTCACAGACCAGAGGAAAACATGAAAAAGTAGGAAGGATGCACTCCTGTCTGGTTTTATTTTTGTTCTGGTTTGTTTGTTTTGGGGGCTTTGTTTGTTTGTTTTGTTTTTGAGACAAGGTGTCTCTACGTAGTCCTGCCTGACCTGAAATTCATTATGTAATCCAGGCTGGGCTCGAACTCACAGAGACCTGGCTGCCTCTGCTCCCAAATGCTAGGATTAACGGTGTGTGCCACCACTCCTGGCTTTCCTGTCTGTTTTCTTTCTCAAATCTGACATATGAAAGGGCTCTTCTTGGGGACTGGTGCTATAGTGACATATAAACCAAAAAGACTGGCATCCTTCTAACTCTTCTTTCCATTAAATAATTGCACATCAGATTCACTACCTCAATAACTAGGCAACAATCGGAGCTCATCCTGCATGTGCTGTCAGTCAACATGGAGGTTCTCACAGGTTCCCAGATGTGTGCAGTTAGAGCCAGGCCGATGTGGCAACTCACTGCCTCACCGCCACAGTGCTGTTTACTGAAAGCACAGCTGAAGACTGCTCAGTGTCTTACACTTCGGGTTACCACCGGCTGCTTCTGTAAAGGTTCATCTAATTTCTATGTAACTTGAAGAGAAGGCCAGAGCAACAGCCTCACCCATCTTCTGTGTACGGCACATTGCTTCTTTACGATCTAGCTCAATTGAACTTTAAACTTCCTTTTGAAACATGTTCCAACTTCCCAGTTTGTTTATTTGTAACACTGGAAGCAATTTTAGACGGTTCTACAGTAAGAGGCTAATGCCTTGAGAACGCAGTCCTGTGTTATGTACTATAGAAACTCACAGATCGATAGCTGGTAGGACCAGGACAGGGAGACGGATCAGTGGAGAAAGCGTTTGCAGTGCATGAGTGAGGACTCGAGTTAGATCCTCAGCAACCACGTAAAAGCCGGTAGGTGCTTGGGCTGGTTACTTGTAGTCCCAGCACACAGGACGTAAGAGAACCCAAGGCAGCTTACACTGACTGGATTGGTGAGCTCTGGGTTAAACTGAAGGACCCTGCATCAGTATATAAAGTGGGGACCAATAGAGGAAAACACCAAACATAATAACTTTGGGCCTCCACACAAATACACACACACACACACACACACAAATGTACACTCCACACACATGTGCTCCCACAGTTGCAAACATGCATGCATGCAATGAATAACACACTCATATGTACACATAATGGCACACACACATGTTGCTGGTACAGAGAATCTTCCCGTCTCTGCCTCCTGAGTGCTGATTACAGGAGTGCGCCCCCATGCCTGACTCTGAATTTCTACTTTGTCAAACCTAGCACCGTATTGATGAGAAGAGCACACCTGTGTCAGGGGACAGCTCATCCAGCAGCTTCACCATGCCTTCTCCTTGCTTGCAAGTCCACATCTTGATGGGGGATCCACCTCCAATCCTGCGATACTGCTCTTGAATTTTGGGGGTTCGGCGTTTGGCGATGAACGGTGCCAGCTTGCTAAGTCATTGGACAGGTAAACGAATGGGTTTTATTTCACCTTAGTAATACGACACGCATTTCACCTCAACAAGGAAGAGATGAGTAAAACTTCATCTGCAGGAATTAGGAATCCTGCTGCAAGGTCCTGACGGTTCAGCATGGATGTGAGAGTTCGCCTCTGCACCCCACCAGTGCTCCATCCCGCACCCTCTGGACACCTTTGTGCCCCTGACCTGCATGCTGCTAGCTACCATCCTACACGCTGGCCTAGCACCCAACAAGAACCCAGAGAGAAAGCACAGGAGGCATATGCTGCTTTTGTTGGAGGGTTTGGTTTGGTGATGCTAAAGCCTGAGTCTGGGACTTCATACATGCTGGGCAAGGATCCCACCACTGAGCTGAAGCCCTGGACTGGCCCCATTTGTTTTTAATTTGGAGATAAGAGTCTCACCGTGTTACTTTGACTGCCCTTGAACTCACAATGTTGCTCAGGCTGGCCCTTGGGGATATTTCCTCAGCCTCTTGCATCACCAAGCCTAACTCACACGGGTCTCTTTTAGTATATGTGCTGTCGAAGCGAGCACACGGCTCTCTTTTAAAAGACGTTATTGTTACATTTACTATTCACTGTGTGTGTGTGTGTGTGCGCGCGCTCTGCTACAAACGTGGTAGCCAAAGGACAGTTTGCAGGAGCTGAGTTGGTTCTCTCCTTCCCCGTGGGTCCCTCCATGCCGTGTACACACCCACACATACACCAAATAAATAAAATGTAAAAGAAGACTGCCCTTTGGGGTAATGAACCCGGTTCTGGTGGAGTAATGTAAAGCTTAAATTTCAAACAGGAGTTTCTGACGTAAGTATTGTGTATATATAAATATTGTATAAATATTAGGTACATTCTTAAGAAAGTTCTCTAGAAAATAGTTAAGTGGCTCTTTCTATATTTCTTTTTCTAAAACAGCTACCACTGCTATTATATATTGCAAAAGAAAAATCTCCCAACAGTGACAGAACTGGAGTGACGAGATTAGAAAGCATAGTAGTTTCAGACAGAGACCTCAGGGATTAAATTCCAAATGTTTTGGGCATCAGAACCTTACTATTGGACTGGAAAGCACAGGATTTGAGTTCTTTTCCCAGCACCCATGTTTGCCAGCTCACAACCACCTGTAACTTCTAATCCAAGGGGTCTGACACATTCTTCTAGAGTCCTCAGCATTTGTATCAGTACACAGACACATAAATCTTTTTTTTTTTCTTTTGAGACAGTGTTTCTCTGTGAGCTTTGGCTGTCCTGGAACTTGCTCTGTAGACCAGGCTAGCCTCAAACTCAAAGAGATCTGCCTGCTGGGTTTAAAGGTGTGCGTCACCACTGCCCTGCTTAAAATAATATAGCACAGAGAAATGCATTTCTTTCTCTGAATTTCTGGGTACACTCTGTGCTAAGGCTGAGGTTAATCATACCAAAGATCATGCCTCCTTACTCTGAAAGTGCCTGTAGAACACTGTGTAACAGGGATTTGTTCTATTTAACCCAAGGCAGAGATAACTGTGGCACTATGGTTGGCATGGTTTGGAAGGACTAGACAAGGCATTAATGCCACCCGTTCAGCCTCCCCAGATACCAAGTCAACTCACCAGCATCAGAGCACATCAACAAACAGAAACAAAACACAACAAAACAAAAGGACAACATCAATCACTCAAAAATAAACATTTTGCAGGCATGGTGGTACACATTTTGCCAGCCATGGTGGTGATCCCAGCACTCTGGGAAGCAGAGGCACGCAGATCCCTGTGAGTTCAAGGCCAGCCTGTAAGTCCAGCACAGCCAGGACTACACAGAGAAACTGTGTCTCAAAAAAATCAGACTCAGCTGGCAAGAATTATATTCTAAAACAACAGAATTAGGACAAAGGAAGGAGATTCCTGTGACCTCACTAGCAAGCAAAAACAAACAAACAAACAAACAAAAAACAACAACAACAAAAAACCCACAAAAAAACAAAATGAGGGAGGCTGGAGAGATGGCTCACTTCCAAAGGACCTGAGTTCAATTCCCAGCAACCACATGGTGCCTCATAGCCATCTATGTGATCTGTGCCCTCTTCTGGTGTGCAAGCACGCATGCAAACAGAACACTGCCTATTTATCAAATAACCGAATCTTTAAAAACAAACAAACAAAAATAATGGGTGTATGAATCCGAAACAGAAGTCACTTTCAGCACAATTTATTCTTTCCTAGAGCTACATTCCCACTGTCATATACTGTCAGTCTGGGACTAGGCAGTAGTGGTGTACAGCTTTAATCCCAGCACTCGGGAGACAGAGGTGGGCGGATCTCTGAGTTCAGGGCCAGCCTGGGCTACAGATTGAGTCCAGGACAGCCATGGCTACACAGAGAAATCCTGTCTTGAAAAAAAAAAAAAAAAGATAGAATCATACAATGCTATTCTAAACAGGCACAAAAAAATCATATAGACCTATATCATTTGTTATGAAAAAAATACTTTAACAGAAAAATCATAAAGTGCCAAATAATGTACGTAATTACATTCACACTTGTATAATGAAGGGGGGCGGATAGGTGCAGGTGTCACGCTCAAACACACAGGCATTGCTTCAAGGAGAACAACACTTTCATTTGTAACTGGTGCTGGAATCCAAGGTGAAAGGGCCATTTGCTTTTAGTGTAAATATGCCATTTGCATTTAGTCATATACATGTATTAATTTTTAATTGCAAAACCTCTTTTGGAAGGAAAGTAGAGAAGAGGAAGCAGAAAAAGAATGAAGGAGGAGAGACGCCAGAATGCCATAACCCACCGTTAGATACAAGGGGGTGATAACTTAACTTCCTGAATGCTAATCGGCCAAGCATAAACACATCTCCACAAATCTTAAAAACTAAAGTTACTTCAGCTGCGCTTTGACAGCTGCAATTCCCAGGGCTCTGGGGAAGAGAGGGCTCACTCTCCACCCGCCCTCCTGCTGTGGGTCTTCACGGACCACTTCCTTCTGCTTCCCCACAGAAGACAAAAGTGCTGCTACACAGAAGACAGATACCCAGCATGCATTGTAGTTCACACAGCACATCTTACTTTTGAATGGGAAGTGTCATGAGGTCTCGGTCCAGGAAGAGCCTTTGAAGGAAGTCTTGAACGTCTCCGAGGGTTTCGGGGCCTCCCATGTTCAACATTAATATGCCAGTTTTGGGCTTCCTACATGAGATAGAACAGTTCATTGCCACACTTTCACACACTCCGGGGCAGATTTCATTTCAGCTGATAAGAGCCCACAGGCCCTTTGCTGTCATCACAGGGTTGTCTCTTTGGAGACAGAGGGCCTCCACTTCACTGACCCACCTCAAACTCTGACCTTTGTCTCTGGATCCGGCCCTATGTTGGCATTAACTGAACTCAAAACTTCCCTATTATCCTATCAGTCTTGAACAAAGATTCAATTTTTAGAGACAGAGACACCAAGTTCTAGAAATCTAAATCAGAGGTCAAAGGGCCTAAGTGCTAGTGCTTCTCAGGAGCACACAAGGTCAAGGTTTTCCAAAGGCTAAGGTTTCTTTGTATGGTGAAATTAAAGTCCAGAGTTTTACTTTAAACTGTCAGGAGAATTCACTGCATAAGGCACATACTCAACATAATCTACCACAGAATGAATTCTGCCACACAGAGAAGTGTCTCTCTTTTATTTTAACACTCCAATGAGTCTATTGCTCACTCTTTCGCCTGTTCCCCTCTCTTTGGTCATAGAGGAAATTATTCTTGTGCTAAAGAGTTCCTTACTACTCTGCTTTCTTTCTCTTCACTGTCAGGTCTTCACTCAGGTCTCTCCTCTGGGTGTTTAGTCCTATCCCTAGCCTCCACCTTCTGGCTGGCAATACTATGTACCTGTGGAATAGCACACACACACGTGCTAACCTGTTCTGGGTAGTTTTTGTCAACTTGACAACAAACCAGAGTCATCTGGAAAGAAGAAACCTCAATAGGAAAATTGCCTCCATCACAATGGTCTGTGGGCAGTCAGTCAAACATTGCATGGGCAGTCAGTCAGACATTTTCTTGAATAATTCTTGATGCAGGCATTTTGCCCACTGGGCAGGTAGTCCCGGGTTACATAAGCGAGGTGAGCAAACCATGGGAGAATGCCAATAAGCATCATTCCTCTGTGGTTTCTGTTTTATTTCTGCCTTGGATTTCCTTGATGTCAGACAGTGGCCTGCGAGCCAAAAAAGTAAACCCTTTCCTCCCCAAGTTGATTCTGGTCCATGTTTTGTTGCAGCAACAGAAACCAAACCAGGGTAGTTCCTCATCTCAGCTGCGACAACCAAAAATGTTGTCACAGGCCTTAGAGAAAGAAGGTAAAATCCTCTTAGTAAAAAGAGGATTATACCAAGCAATTATACTTCCGATGTTACAAAACTGTGTGTGGTGCTGTGGTGCCTGTATGCGTGCATGTGTGGGGTGGCACACATATCCATGTCCATGAGTGCACATGTAGAGGCCAGAAGCTCATGTCTAGTGCTTTCTTCCATTGTTTTCTCCTTTATTTCTGGATTCACGGCCTCTCACTGACCTGGAGCTTACCAAGTCAGCTAGACTGGCTGCACACTGAGCTCCTGGGCTCCTCCTGCCCCTGCCCTACTCCCCAGCCTTGGGATTATGGCACATAAAGCTGTACCCAGATTTTATGTGGGTGTAGGGACTTCACCCATGCGCTAAGCAGGCCCTTAACCCAGAACCATCTCCCTAGCCCTACAGAATGCTACAACTAAACAGGGCTGTCGAGTTTTCTCTACCTAAACATGCCAGATGTATCACCTGGCGAAACTGCAATCCCCTTAATCTTCCTACTGAGACCACCCGTCTTTCCCCTGAGTTCTTGTCTTTCACCCTTGAAATCTGTGACTCCAAATAAATTAAGTGCCTTTTCCCATGGATTGTTGCCAGTTAACAGATTACTGGTTAAGAAAGCCCGGGCTAAAAGACTTACCTAAGGCACAGCGGTTATCAATGTGCAAACGGGATTTAGAACTGTGCTTTCCATCTATGACACCTGAGCTCAGAACAAGAGTGGCTTTAAAGCGGATGGTACCCTGCCCTGCGCACGTTTTGCAAACCCGTGTTGATTTTATACATGAAAGAGACACATATGATTTGAAAATGCCCCAATACACGTAACACTTAATTCAGAACTGTGTTGTGCATGATGAGTGCTGCATTAGTCTGACTCTGCTCTGTCCCGGAGTATGAAGGACAAAGCTTTCATCAAGGCTCTCTGTCTCTTTTCCCCTCCAGACAGATCACACCTGAGACCAAGCTCTGATCGGCCAAGGCGCTCTTTGTCTGAACATAAAAGCATGCACAGCAACACGTATTTTGAAACTTACTTGGAAAAGTTTAAATGATTTGCATTTGCTATATTCTGGGACTTTAAAAGCACAAAGCTTTCCCTTTGAACCATGAAATGTGCCCAACAGGAACTAAAGCTCATCACTCAGCAAACAGTAATTTTATTCTATGGTATCTAGATAGCACAGATGAGGGAGAATAAAATCTCAGTTCTTCATTAAACCTACAATGTATCAGTGACCCAACAATCTATGCCACTTTTAGAATAGAGCCCAAGAAACAACAGAATCTGCACCAAATCTACACACAAACACACACACACACACACAGAGCACAGTTAGAACACAGTTCCACTCTTGTGTTTATCTTATTCACAGATGCCTTGACATTGTAGCAGCAAAGGAGATGGTATGGCCTATAAAATCTAATACGTACGTACGTACATACGTACATACATACATACATACTTACATGTATGTATGTCCACGGTAAAAGCCTGTGGACTCCTAATCTAGTATAGCAGCTGCTCTAGCCTTGTAGCTGAGCTCAAGGGAAGCACTAAAGAGCACAAGGTCTTCCAAAACGTTGGCATCAGAATGGTCCCTAAGAACACTCCTTACTTTAGCATCTCGAACATTCAAAACTAGACATAACTAATGCCTGGAATGTTGGCTTGGATAAATAACCTCTGATTTACCAAGATACTCCTAAGCTACCCGAGATGGTTCCTGATCATATATAGAACCACCTAGGAGACAAACCTTTCATGCGCCTGTAAGGGGAGTTTTAATCTAAGTGCGACAGTACATGGCACTATCCCAGGCACCCGAGAATGAAAAGGAGAAAGAGAACTGAGCACCAGCATTCACCTTCCTCCTCTTCCTGAGGGCGGCTGTAAAATGCAGCCAGCACCTCACTCTCCTGCCACCTTGATGGACATTACCCTCAAACTGTAAAGAGGAGTAAAGCCTTCTTTATGTTGACTTTGTATTTTGTCACAGCAACAAGAGAAACAACTGAAACTACATGGAAAAAAAATATGAATGAATATATGGCGACAGTAGACAAAAAGAAATTGTAAAATAATATACATAGTATTGTTTATATGTCAGTAAGTACATACGAGTGGAAGATAAAATGCTAGAGGGTACGATTACTATGACTTTCAAATCCTTTCTTTCCACCTGAGTTTTCTATTTTTTTTTATAAATATTGTAGAGTTACTTAGTAAAAAAAATCTAAGGCTTATAATTAATTTTATCAATGAATATAATAAAGTCGTTTCTATTGACTTTTGTCACTACAAAATATAGCAATAAAATAATTTTTCTTCCAGACTCCTCATTAAATCAGTTCTTCAGCACACAAGAGTACTTTTTTCAAGTCTTAAGGGACCACAGGGACAGATAGCCAGTGCCCCACTTGGCAGGCCGCTAGCCCAAGATACTGGTGTTTCTTACTCTACCCTCTAACTCCATCTTCTAGGAAGACAGAGTAGAGGGGAAGGGATTTGGGACCTTTCCCTAATTCCATATCCTAAGTCAACCTCAGTTTCGAAGCTTTGGATCAATGAACCCATATCACTATGAAAAAATAACAAACCCCAAATGAAAACATTTCATTTACATGACTGTTCATGTAGTTTGAATGAGAGTGTGCCCCACAATCTAGGGCATTCAAATACTTGGTTCCTAACTAGTGGTGCTGTCTGGATAGGGTCAGGAGGCATAGCCTTGCTGGAGGAAGTATGTCACTGCGGTTGGGGTTCACGCCATTCCCAATTTGCTCTCTCTACTTCCTGATTGTGGTTCACGATGGGAGCTCTCTGAAGCTGCTCCAGTGCTATGCCTTTGTCACCCTCTGGATTTAAAAGCCCAATTAAACTCTCTAAGTTGTGTTAATCACAGCGATAGACAGTACCGAAAGTGCTCTACAACTCTAGAATGTCGTTTTATCTGTCAGCAAGGTCCCAATGTCACTAAGTACAGCTACTTCCCTTCTTAGATCTGAATAACTTCCGTGTATAAAACCTGCTCTTCTGTATCACAGAGGAGGCCCGTGGGCATCTGCGGCTTCTGCTGCTGAAGAGAACATGCACCATGGCTCCTGCTTCCACCCACAAATACCAAGAATGAAGTACACTTTATTTCCTTAATAAAATATAAACCATAGCACGTCATTGATAACTATGTTCATTTTGTTAAAAGCTAAAAGTAATAATGGTAGAATCTCCTGAAGAAGTTCTTGGTAGGTTAACTACTTTCAGCCTATACAAGGCATACGTTTTATAATAGGCACACATATGTTCAGTTCATTCATAAAGTTCTAGTATGCACATAACTGATTTTATATATGACATACACTGAGGCCACATTCTTACACAACTGAAGACTATATTTAACTATGTCCTTTGTTAGTCCTTAAATCCTATTATTTAACAGCTGTTAAAGGGAAACCAAGAAAATAACATACCACTGCTAATAAATATATTAGATTTTCCAAGTACTTCCTCCCCTAGGTTGCTTGAACACACTCACATTTGTCATATAGAAAAGAAAAACACAACCAAAGAAAACCTTATTTGAGCCTAGTTACCTCCTTTCTGGTTGAGCTTGGGGTTTTGCAGTCTTGGCATGATGTACTTTCTCTTTGGTGGCCGCCGCTGCCCCCGACTGGCACCTCCACGCCTGACAGGCCCTCGAGCTGCCATGCACCACTGTGACAAAATTAAAGTGCTAGCATGAAATCAAGTTGAAAAGTAATTTCTTTTCAAGAGGTCCTCGGGGCATAATTCCTGCCTTTAAATTTTAAGATGGCACAATGGCAGAGTGGATTTTCCCAGCATCTCTGCAGGCACACTGAAGATTTCCTTCTCCAGTGGATTGGGGTGAAGGTTCCCTCTTCCAGGGTGGCTTTATCTTTTTAGAAGGTATACACACCTTCTCACCATGCCCTGGCTACAAATTTTGCTCAGATGTCATCTCCAGAGCCTCTTTACACTTGAAATATTTTCACCTGTGGGACTGGGCTCAGAGAAAAGCTAGGCACCTCGGGGAATGTCACCTAGAGTGGAAACTGGGCCTATTCCAAACTGTGGGTCCCATTTCTGTCCTCAAGCCTTCTGGATAAAGCATCCAGGATGCGACCCTCAGAATCGCCCTGTGCCCTGATAACGAGAAGAGGTCACACTCTCTTCTCAGTGAATGCACCCATGAGGTGTAGAGTCCCTCAGGGTCCAAGACAGGCTCCCAGGACCCAGAGCTTAAGAACTCCCTTTTCCCACCAACTCCAGAGTCTCTACAAGCTCCTTCCCTGCATCTGTCCTCTGGTAGGCAGATGTTACCATCCATATAAGCAGTTTGTAACCTGGTTAAGCTGTCTGTAAGGGTAGCCTAGGGGTGATAGAAAAGAAGCCTGGTGGTGGGAAGAAAAGCAAGAATGCCTGCAGGTCAACAATCTCAAGGCCTCTTCTCTGCAGGGGTTTAGGAGCACTCAAGACCCCATCCTTCCAGCTGCTCATAAAGGTCTACTGGTGAAGGCTGTACTTTTTTGTACTGTATTGTACTTTTCTATGTACAATACACATGTTTAATCTATACTCTTGGCCTGAGTGCTACAAGAGTAGGGAGTGGGCCAGGAAAATAACTGAACCAAGGATAACATGGAACATTGGTCCTAAACAAACAGCAAACTTAAATGGAAACACTGAGGCAAATAATTAGGGGCAGTATCTACTTCATGATACACAAGTAACCTCCTTTTCCACTCTCACAACACCTGGTGAGAAACTGGTCTGGGACTCGATGTCGGCTGCCTTTTTCTCCTCTCAGTGCCCTGCTGAGAGCAAAGTTCAGGCTGAATCAAACAGGCCTGACAAAGTTCTGCTCCCCACTTCGCAGCAGTGTGATCTGGGTCAGACTACAATCTCCTAGTACAATTTCCAAGCTTCCAAACTATTGCCATGCCCTTGTTTACAAAATTCTTGTCTGTAGCTGACCAAATTTGGGGACTGATAAGGGGTGCTTCCTACTGTGACTTAGGATTAACATACCCCTCAAGAACATTTCTAAAACACCCCTCTCCTACTACTGTGCTATTACAGATATGGAGCAGGTGGTCAGAGAAGATAACAGAGGAGGTGAGTATGCTCAAAGCGTCAGGTGCTTTATGAAAATGTCACAGAGAAACCCATACAAATTGTACGAAGTACATAGACTAACTAAAATTACACAGAATCCCACACTATCTTAGAAGCAGGGACTTTAGGGGCCACGGGGACTTGGCTTCCCAGATTTGGCCAGTTAAATGGATCATAACAGTGAACAGAAAAAGGACTGCCTGCACCCCACCCAACACTGTCCATTTGAAAATTAAAATATATTGGGGCTAGAGAGCTCAGGGGTTAAGAGCACTGGCTGCTCTTGCAGAGGACCTGAGTTCAGTTCCCAGCCCCCACACCCGGTAGCTCACAAACACCTGTACTCCAGCCCCAAGGGGATCGCACCCCTCTGGCCTCTGTAGGCATCTGTAGTCATATGCATATACCCACACACAGACACATAACTCAAACTAAATTTTTAAATAAATGGAAATGAACATAAAAGCACTGAATACAAAACAAACTATCATTTTGTATACTGGAAAATATACAAGGCAAAATAAAGAGGGATTACATGAAAGATAAGTTTAATTTCTTCATAAAATCTTAAAAAAAAATGTGCATCGATCTAATGGAATTCTTAAATAAGGAAAATAAGAGCAGGGGGTATGGGGTGGGGTGTGGTATGGTACATGTAGATAGAACACACTAGAGTAAGCAGCTTATTAATTCTAAATGATAAAAATATAGAATATAAGACTTTGCTTTTTCCAGTTTCAATTCCAGAATTCAGTCGCAGAAAACACTCAGTTTTTCTCTTGTCTAATATTAATCTTTTCCTGTTAACAACAATGATAAAAGTAGTACAAGAGCACCTTAAAAATTGGAACGTGAGCAGTTAACACAGAAATTCACAACTAGTTAACATGCAAAGAATGAAGTGTTCCACCACAAATGTTCATATCCCACCCATGACCACAGCAGGCTCAGGGAACATGGCAGAAGCAGGAGTAGAAAGATGGTAAGAGCCACACTGTCTTCTAGCCACGACATACTGCTGGACTCATGAACTCGCTGTAGTTGCTGCACAAGGCTTGAAAAACAGACCAAGCGAGTCAACGTCCCATCATGGTGTGGCGAGGGGCTCCTGACCCCTAACCCTCTCTAAGGAGCTATTGTCAATCGATGGCTTCTGAAGAAGGCAGAGTCGGGCTCTTTTTAAAGGCGAAGCCCCTGATAGGCTGGCCTTGCTCTAATGGGGGCTTCACACCCAAGGGATAACCATATACCCATATAAATTAGACTTAGATACTGAGAGGCGGGGGAGGAAGGGGAGACAGAGAGTTGAGAGGGGTGGGGAGTGGTTATGAATCTGGAAAGAATTAGGAAAAAGAGTTGGGGGTGAATATGATCACAATATTTTGTGTGCATATATGAAATTCTCAAGGAATTTAAAAAAAAGTACTTTTTAAAGGGTTGGAGCCTGTAACAGCTGGAATTGGGATATAGGTGGTTTCTGAATCCTTTCATCCAGCTACTTTTGACTTACACAAAAAAAAATTTTCATTTCTCATATTGTTTCATGACCTCCAGTCTCGGGTCTATTGGACTTTATTTGCCACTGGAAAGGATGGTGAAAGAAAAGATTAATTCAGTACTTCCTTTTCTGGCACTGTCCCTATCTTAAAGATAATACCTTTTGTTTTCCAGTGTGGTTAGTGAGCTGATCTTTGTACTGTATTAGTCTTCTAACAAAGGCACCTGCAATAACGAATACGTGGATGGATGTTCGGAGCAGATTTTCTCCACCTGAAGTAGGTGCCAAATGGACATTAGGAAACTCCTTTGAAACAGTGTCAGGTGTAGTCACCATTAAAATTCATTACGTAAGCAGTCTTTAACATCAGTAACCGAGGGCTCTACGCTGCCTACTTCACCTGCGTACTAATCGTCACAACAAATAAGCTAGGTTGGCGTGGTTGGGACCCTGGCCCAAAGTGTCCTTGCTCAATTCAGTCCCAGCTCATGTAGTGCGTACACCCTACGTCCACGAAGTGTACCAGCAACACTTGAGGTCTCATTTGTTCTCCAAATATCCCACAAAAACTCTAGGCCTCCCCACCGTGAGTCCGTCTACCCAGAAGTCGTGGCTTGGAAAGCACAGCGGTAGGTACCCTGATCGCCATCAGCAGAGAGCGAACTGCCAGGCAGATGACAACAGTGATGGTGACAGCGACGCCTGCGTTACTGGAGGTTCTGTAGGTGTCAGGTCCTTCAGAGACCTTTCCCAAATCCAGCTCCTGCTCGGGCCCCGCCCCTGCTGGCCCTTGCGACTTGAACCCGCGGCCTCCCGGGCGCTCCTCGCGTTCGAGAACTCAGACGCAACCCAACTTACGCGGCTGGCGGGGCAGTGCGCCCACAGCCCGCAGGGCCGCAGCCATGTTGGCGCCGGCCGAAAGCATTTCCGGGACGGCCAGGGATCCTCTGCGGCGGCGCTACGGCAGAGCCAGGGAGCGACGACCTGGCAAAGATCCGCAACGGCGCCCCAGAGCCTTATCACCGCGCATCCGCGGCCGGCGGGGGCGGGGCCGGCAGGACACCCGCCCCGGGGTGTGGCCAGGAGGGCGGGGCTTGTGGGCGGAGGTAGCCAGGGGCTGCCCCGGCGGGAGGCTGCGGCAGATAGCCTGAGATAAGGCCTGTGGCATCCCTGCTCCTGCCGCCACGGGTCAGCGCACCCACGTCCTGCTTGGTCTGAGGCGCCGGAGGGCCTTCCGGTCGGTTCTGCCAACCTGTTTGAAGCTGGCCGAGACTTAGCAAAAGACTTTCTAGACGTTTCCATAACTGTCCTTAGATGTGCCCATGCTTTTACCTCCTTTCCCCATTTTGGTTGCTTCGCTACTGCACCACAGTGCAGTCTTTCACCCTGTTAGAAAGAGGGTGGGGTTTTATTTGTTGCTTTGCTTTTGTTTTGTGTGTGTGTGTGTGTGTGTGTGTGTGTGTGTGTGTGCGCGCGCGCGCGCGTTTAGTTGTTGGCAGGAGCATCATTCTTTGCTTTCTTAGCAGCAGCTCTCTCTGTAGCAGAGTTTGAGACAAAAGAAGCCAGCGTAATATTGCTGGTGTGAGGGAAGCCTGTAATCCCAGCACTCTGGGTGGCAGAGGCAGGCGGATCACTGTGAGTTCAAGGTCAGCCTGGTCTACAAAGTCCAGGGCAGCCAAGGCTACACAGGAAAACCCTGTCTCGAAACACCAAAAAAAAAAAAAAAAGGGAGGGGTAATGGAGGTCAAGAAGGCAGATGCTGACTGCATTAAGGAAGGGCTGTGGAGAGACTTAGCAGAACAGATGGTATTTTTGAAAGACTCAGAGTATTCTAGGAAAACAGAGGAACAACAGAGCAGGACCTCATGGAGGCCTTGGGAACGGAAGGAGAGAAGGAGGAAGGGAGGGAGGGAGGGAGGGAGGGAGTGAAGGAAGAAGGAAGGTAGGCAGGTAGGTTAGCTGAAAAAAGATGAGAGTCCAGATCAACCTGAATATTAGTTTCCTGTGGCTATAATCTGAGCTCTTGGCTTTATTAGTTTATTGTTTATAAGACCGACGTAAAATATAAATATAACCAACAGGACTTTCAAGCTCAAACATGCTCCCTGAGAAATACCAAATGACCTCCTACTAGGCCGGAGCCTGGCCCCACACGTGCTAGGCAATGGTCTGTCGCTGCCCCACCATACTTCTTTTTACATTTCAGGGGTTTGTAAGTTGCCATCCTCCTGCCTCAGCCTCCCCAGTAGCTGAGACTGCAATGCTGAGCCACCAGGCCAAGTTGTTTGCCAATTCCTGACTCTCAAAGTCAAAGTGGTTTTAATTTGAGATTGCCCTAGAGAGAGGTTGAGGGAAAGTTAGGAGATGCAGGCAGACTGGACAAAACAGGGCCAGTCCTTTGCCTGTCACATGGAATGAACTCAGCTAACACCAGAATACCCGTTACAAAATGACCTTTATGCTGCCCGTGTAAAGCTGGGGTTTCTTAAAGTTCACTTAGAAGTGAACTGCAGAGCTCCCACCACACACTTCGAAACGCTGTGCCAGACAATGCAAGGTGATGTCACAGGTCTAAGATGTCTGTTCTGTCGGCTCTGGGAGGCCCTGAAGGAGTCACGCTGCCATCCTGAGTGCTAAGCACGACTGCTAAGCGACGATAATAGGAGTTTCTTGGCCCCTCCCAGGGAAATGCTAGTGATTAGTGATGAAGCAAAATGTGGCCAATTCTCACAAAAGCTGCAGCTGTGTGAGATGGGTTAAATTTACGTGTGTGACCAGAAAGAAAAAAAAAAAATGTCAACATGCTTTATTCCAGACATTAATCCAATAACATTTTAAAAAATGAATGAACATCAGTTCTTTCATTTTATTTACATCTGTTTACTGACTTTGAAAAACTCTCAAAATTCTCGGTGTGTAAAGGCACATACAGTAGATTCATGGGTTGGCAAAAGAAAGCAAAACTTGGGCTGGTTGAGAAGGTAGCTTTACAGGTAAAGCGCTTGCTTGCTGCTCAAGCCTGACCACCTCTGACCCCTGGAATCCATGGTGGAAGGACAGCACCAGCTCAGAAAGCTGTCTTCTAACCTCCACATGTGCACCACAGCGCTCACAAGTGTGGGCACATACGTTAGGAATAGAAAATGAGTGAAGCAAACTGTTGTGATTTTATTTTTCTACTTTCTGTTTAGGCAGGCCTTAAGCCTAGCACCCTCCTGCCTAGCATCCCCTGTAGCTGGAGTTATGGGCCTGAGCCACCAGGCTAAACCCTTTTGCTAATTTTTGACTCTGATAGCACAAATGATATTACTTGAGGTTGTGCTTACATGAAATACAACAGCTGCCTGTTGAATAGGTTTTTAAGTTGTTATTATTATGAAATAAAAGCAGATAAAATACACCTCATCTGAATACTGTTAAAACTGATAGTTTTTAAAAAAAAAAAAAAAAAAAAAAGTGCTTTTATCATCTTGAAAAGGGTCTCCTGCAGTCTGGGCTGGCCTTGAACTTACTATGTAGGTGAGATAATCCTGAACTCTTTGGTATTCCTGCCTCCACCATTTAAGCACTGGGCTTATAGGCATATACCATCATACCTGGCTTCAAAAATACAATTCTGGTTGGGCATGGTAGCACACACCTTTGATCCCAGCACTCAGAGGCAGAGGTAGGAGGATCTCTGTTAGTTTGAGGAGAGCCTGGTTTACACAGTGAGTTCAAGGACAGCCCCGGCTACCTAGAGAGATCCTGTTTCAGGAATCAAAAATAAACAAACAAACAGGAAAACATGTTCTTAGACCAGAAGTTGTGAAGTCTGGATGCTGGGTTATAGAAAAATTTGAAAGCCCTTGAAAGGCTAAATAAATATGGTGTGTGTGTGTGTGTGTGTGTGTGTGTGTGTGTGTGTGTGTGTATACACAAACATGCATATGTATGCTTCTGCTCTCTCCCCAGCTTACACTTTTTAAGCAAAATTCTATACCAATTCCATTAGCAAACAGCAGGTTGGAAGACACAGCCTTCATGTTGACCAAGATAAGCAGCACTGCCACTAGGGAGGAGATTTGTCTGAGCCTGGGCGACTTAATTAGTGAATAAAGCACTTGCCTGTCACAGACAACACTCTGGAGTTCAGCCTGTAGTTCTAAATAAAATGAATTTGTTGGTTTCAGCTCAGTGCTTCAGGGAAGGGGAGACTCCCCTAATTCATTATTTGCAGTGATTGGCACCTCTGAGCTACACAAACTAAATTTAGATTACTCGACTTTGTCTCTTTAATCAGAAAGGGACTGGGGGAAGGGCTTCCGTGCAGGAGAAAGAGCGGCTCCCCATGACAAATGGTGAGCTTAAAATAATCACTCAGGGAAATCTGAGCCCTTGTCCTCACAATTAAGACCTAAGCCACCAAATCCAGACCCAAGCACTGCATACTTTGACTAAACCAACTTCAACCACAAGGAGCCTGGAGCCCATTAGGCCTCACACTCACTGAGTGTCTCCACAGTGAGAAAAGTGCTGTTCCAGGTGACGTGGAAGATAAAAGTGGGAAAACATGCTAAAGGAACTTGTACTTGGAAGTAGCTCATTCATTTAGGAGACAAGTCTGAAGGCAAAGTCCACCGCCAGACACCTAGTGTTTGGCACTGGATAATAATCAGTACCCATATGGAACAATTGTTCTAGAAGGTCACTTAGGCAACTGTGTATGACACAGCTGAAGATACAAAATATGTATGTTATCTGGTATGGCCAGGGGCCAGGGAGAAAAGCAGAGGCGGAAAAATGCAGAGGCTGGACCTGCTTGTTTCTGTAGTGCAGGGAGATATGAACTCCGAAAAGGAGCAACCCCGAGGGGCAGGGTTCTGGAAGTTGGTCCGGAAAGAGATCTGCAAAGGTGAGGAACCGTTTTGCTAAAGTGTCAACAGGGCCACATGCCTCCCAAAGTTTGAAGGGAAGAACCCAGCCTAGTTACTCCCTACCTTCTACTGGGGACTGGCAAGTCTTTGAATACCTGTTATAATGGAACTAACTACCCCCACAGTCTCATCCGAAATACTTTTTCTGTAATCCTGCATCCATAGTTTATAATTTCTGGGCTAAGAGCATGCGTTTTGTTTGGGTGGCTTTGGTTTCTCAAGACAGACTCTATGTAGCCCTGGCTGTCCTGGAACTTACTATGTAGACCAGACAGGCTCAAACTCACAGAGATCTGCCTGCCTCTCCCTTTGAGTGCTGGGATTAAAAGCATGTGCCACCATGCCTCTAGCAGGAACTGTATTTTTGAAGCCAGGTATGGTGGCATACACCTATAATCCCAGTGCTTAAAAGGTGGAAGTGGGAGGAACATTGAGCTGGATCTTGAAGTTAGGAAATCAAGTTCTTTTAGAGGACACAGAGGACCCGAGAGGCAGTCACATGGCCTGATCAGAGTGAGGCTGGAGGTGAAAGGACACCAAGGCTCCTTGATGTAGTAGGACTTTGCAGGTGATAATGAATCTTTGATGTGGACTTTGGAGTGCTCCCCGTGGAGCACCATGATACACACGGGTTTCTAACGGTTCCTTTATCTTAGTAGCATACTAAATTAGCATACTAATCTGGACCAACATTAAGAGAGACCATGTGTCTAGACACATTATTTCTTCCCATGGCTCATAACTTTTTTTTTTTAGCTCATATTTATAAGTGCTTTTGTTTCCATGGTGGCAAAAGGGTCCCCACGGAGCCTGTCCAGCATTCAGGGGTGTCCTGAGTCTTGGACAGACTGATGTTATTTTCTTGGCTTTGCAGTCTTGCTCTTTTAAGGTATGTTAATTTACAATCTACTCTTGGGGGAGGGGGGATTTTATTCCCTTCCAGAGCTAAGCACAAGCTCCTTTTGCTATGAGCTGGAAAGCCAGTTTTCTGGATTTCTCTAAGAAGAACCAGGCCTCTGAGGCCCCTCTGCATGGACCTCTGGCCCTAGTTCCACCATCCTGCTTTTGTATGGAAATCCTGGAAGCGAGGGTCACCTGTGAAAACT